TATATATTGTAAAATGCTTTTAGTTCTATTTTTCGCAGTGGACACTGGGGAAAAAAACCAAGTTTAGGAGACTGAATTCCATGCTGTCACCATGCCACGGCTGTCTGATCTGGACGGGGGCTGTGCCATTGATCATTGACACTGGCACAGTGTCATGGTTTGGGCAGGCGTAAGACAGAACTCGTGGTGATTGTGCCATTCATGCGCTAACATCCAACCGTAGGCTTGCTCCATCGAGACATCACCCGTCCCCATAACGCCAGGATAGCACAGGCATACATGCAGCAGTAGCAGTTACAGTCTCTTTTTTCTTAGACCAGACACGTCTCCCATGACTGGGATGATTTGGACAACCGATTTCACAACCACCAGCCACAGCCTACCACCCTCATAGAGTTAAGAGCTGTACTGGTGGAAGAATGGAGAAAGAAGACTCACAAAAGCATAAAACCATATACATATCAAAACTTGCGTTTCCTTTTTTTTTTTGTTAGTATATGCACTGCAAAGTAAAATCAAATTTATATATCTGATACCGGCCTTGCGAAAAGAGTCAATGAAGTTGTTGTCTCATACTATGCAGTTTCAGTGTGCTAAGATTGCTTTCTTCTCTATTTCAGTCTTCCTTACGGTCCCCTTGTGGGCGGTGTACTGATGTTCACTCCCCAGGACTTCCAGGCTGTCAATGGTTATTCCAACGCTTACTGGGGCTGGGGAGCAGAAGATGATGATATGGGTTATAGGTAACCAGCGTCTGAACCCTCTTTTTCCTAAAGTCGTATGTGTAGAAGCCACAGGGCGACATTTTGGGTGGGGTGGTACTTGACCTTTTTCTTTTTTTTTCAGTCATATCAGTCATAAGCGCAGGAAGCATTATGAGCTAAGCCCCCCTCGCTATTTTTTCTGAATGGTCATCTCCCCCCCCCCCCCACAAACCCACACATACACAAACCCGCTTCCTACAAACTGTTACTCTTACATGCAGGAGTTGGAGAATCTCTCTCTCTCTCTCGCTCTCTCTCCATTTCTCTCCCCCCCCTCTCCCTCTCTCTCTCTCTCGCGCGCGCGTCCGTGCATATTGTTCTTGTCTCTTCGGCGACCTTCATTGACTTCCATATCTGTTTCATTTTCAGAATAAAAAAGGCTGGTTTAAGAGTTTCGCGCCCATCCCTCAATACCGGCCGTTATACTATGTTAGTGCATACACAGCGCAGGAAAAACGAAAGAAGGTAAATGTAGACTTAGACATGATATATTAATATTTATGCGGGGGCTCAACTTAAGATTTGTCAAGAGAAATATAGAGGTGTGACTGCCACTGTACAACAAAGTTTTTTTAAATCATGTTTTAAACAAAAAATAATGATAATACATTCTTATAAGGTGATTTCCATAAAATCTCCGTGCGACTTACAAAAGTGTTAAGATTTTAAATTATACACTAGAAATGGCTAAATTTTAAACAACCATGCTTTGTTTATGATATCTTTTTAATATTTTAAATAAATGGCCTAAATTTTTTAAATGTTCATTTTCATCATGAGCAGTAAAGCCGATTAAAATTTATGCTTTTGGCAAATGTTATCTTAGGGTTTGGGCATACATGTATATCTAAAATGCCCCTTCAATAAACTTCAGTTGTACAGATGTAAAAGTTATACTGAACTTCACGAATTCTCATATGTAATTCCAGAGTTGAAATTCTTCATAAAGGCATGGAGCGACAGCCCTGGGACGGTCTGAGTAACGTTAACTACTCAGTGCTTGACATCAGATTAAATCCCCTGTTCACGCACATGTTGATAGACATAGGGAAAACGCCTGACACGTACTGATACCAAGCACGCGTTCATCTAGGGATGCAACAATACATATACCAGCATATATTGCTTTACTACTGAAAAGAGCGACAGACAGAAGTCTTGTACCAGGAATGGTAATCTACTAAGAACCATAGTCTGCCTCCCATGTCTTTGTTCCGGTGACATTCTTCTCATATACTAACCCCAATACTCCGACTTACCTTAACCTGTTCTAATTATATGGGATCCCGGACTTTATTCATAGGACTACCATTCCTGTTACATCTGTCTTAAAGCCAGCGGTGCTTTATTAATTTGGCATATTTATTGCTTTAATGAGCAATTTTAAAAAAGGATGTGAATAAAAGTTTTTTTCGGCGTAGACACAGAGACACTTGTGATTTAGCGTTACTTTTTGCTTCGTGATTTTAGATACCGTTGTTACGATGTACGACTCGAGGACCGTCGAAAAGATGAACATAGTTTTCAGCACGGGGCTAACATTTACTCTGATGAAAAATTCACATCGGATTTCTGTTTTCAAAAGAATTCTTAAATTGCGTTGTTTTTTATATGNTCGAAAAGATGAACATAGTTTTCAGCACGGGGCTAACATTTACTCTGATGAAAAATTCACATCGGATTTCTGTTTTCAAAAGAATTCTTAAATTGCGTTGTTTTTTATATGTATGTACAGGTACATGTAGGCTACATGTATCTTCTAAAGATATAACTAGGGTAGGGTAAATAATAACTTTTTTGGAAATCTCTCAGGGAACAGGTGATTTTAGAGGCAAAATGGGCCAAAAAGTTCATTTCTGATGAGAAATTTGAGCTAGAAGCATTCTTTAGGTCGGTAATTTTACTATTTTTGAAAACGCATACAAAGCATATGCACTGCATATACAGTAACTGTAGTAATTATATGTATGTATATAATTGTATTGAAAAGTGTTGAGTGAAGCACAAATTTTTGATAAGTGAGTGTTTTATATGACACAAAATGATGCTAAACACACATGTACATGTGCAACTATTTTTATCAAAGAGTTTCAACATTGACAATTAAAGGAACCTATGTTTTTATTATGCGTTTTCTTATGTTTTTAAGGTTGTAAAATATTTATTCTTATGTTAACACTGCCATTGTTACATTTTAAATGGAGTTTGGTTACCTTGTTGGTTGATAGTTTACTGTCAAGCTTGAAAGAAGAGCCAGATCTCAGTCAGTCAAAACGAGTAGTGATAAGATATCTCAAGTTCTGCTGGATGTGAATTATGAGGAAGAATCAGAGTTATCCTGACCCCAAGCAACCAATGGGGGAATATCTTTAAATTATTAAAAAGAAGTGGATGGAATATTTTTGTTCTGCACATAAGAAGTTGGGGAAACAATCACTATCATGTACTGAGACCAGCAAAGAAGTTGCCTGAGAAATATCCAATGTCTGGATGTCCAAGAATATCTTTCCTCTCTTTGAGAACGTTTACAACAGAATAACTGTATATTGAGACTACATATAAAAAGCATTGTGCTTATGTATGATGAATCTTAAACACTATTTGTCATGTTTTGATTGAAATCTTTCACTTTTGTATTATCCTTGCACTTCACAGACAGTTAATGCTTCATACGTTCCCCAAATATATCATAATCCAACATACTTCTGTTGGGAAGGTACTTCTCAAAGATTGGAAAAATACTTTTTTGGAGATTCAGGCATTGGAGATTTCTCTGGCAACTGCTTTGCTAGCCTCAGCTTATGATAGAGATGTCTTCCGGCTTCATACATGTAAAACATGTAAAATGTAAAAGTGTATCATCCATCCTATTGTAATAATTTAGAAAAATATTTACTTTATGGTAAGGTTACTAGTAAATGATTCTTCATTATAATTCCCATCCAACAGATGTTGGGAATCAAAATGAGGAGTGATATGATTCCCAACAGATGTTGGGAATCATATCACTCCTCATTTTGATTGATCAAGATGACTGAGGTTGTTCATTTTCCCCATTATCGAAGATTCTGGCTCTTCACTCTAGATTGACAGTTAAATGTCAGCTGACATGGTAACTGAACTCACTGTAAAATGTATCAATCTCAGTATTAACATCAGAAATAGATTCTACAACCCCAAAAACATAAGAAAAGACATATTACACACCATAATACCTTTAATTGTTGTTAATGAAGCTTTGGGTAGGCCGTTTTGGCTGCCATTTTGAAAATTGTCATTTTATCGGCCTTAATAATAAATTGTTTTAGAAAAAAATGATTGTCAGATTTGTGTTCTGCATCAAATTTCGCCTGAGAAAACACCTGTTATGGAATTTTTTTGAGATTTACCCTACCCTAATATAACTATGATGTCTGTAATGGTTTTTAATTACCCAGAAGCTATTCAGAATATAAGGGTGCCAATATACATGTACGTGTGTGTGTGTGTGTGTTTAATATATATATATATATATATATATATATATATATATATATATATAGGTTGTCTTATTTGTTGTCTGTGAACGGTCATTCTATGTCGGAAAGTGTATCCGGTTTGTCCTATATAGTTCTCACCGCATCTACTGCAAGTCAATACATTAATTAAATCTGAGCTAGTGAAATGTGAGGTACCCAGGTGCGGCACCTGTCCACTAATTAAAGAGGGGAGCCATCTTACATTTAAAAATGGACTTACATTTAGAATTAATCACCCATTCACCTGCACTAGCTCAAATTTATTATATAAGCATTCATACGTTGTAATAAACCTTTTTTTAATTTAGACCATAAAGCTTAAGGTTGATTAGTTCTTGTTCGAAATATGATATCTACAGGAGAATACATATTCAAATATAGGGCCCTCCGCTTTCAAGCTTAGTTTTTCATCACCTCAAGGATTATTTCCAGCTAGTTCCTCAAGAACGTTTCATAGGATAAGAATTACTACTTCATGATAGAAGGCGACTTCATTGGTTAAAAAATAAGGACCCTTAGGAGACTTCGTAGTATATTACCACTTCATGGTACATTGTATCCAAACATGTTTCAGTTCTGGTTGGATGTGGAAATTAAGCGTAAAGGTCGATATGATGTTTCATTCTAGACCATGATTTCCAGAGTGACGCTTGTATTCGAAATGGGGTGTGTGTATGTGTGTGTGTTTGTGTGTGTGTGTGTGTGAGTAACATTACTCACTCACATGATAGTGAGTATTTTATCTCGTTGGGGTTTAATGAAGCTGTTATTTTCAGATGTTCTCGTAGATACCCGTGAGATTAACTTCTATAAGTAATGTACTTTATTTCAATAGCTCCGGTCCAGTGACGGAAAGCATAAAGCTAGTTTTTTGTTTTACCCATTTAGTTTTGAGATTTTTCAGATTTCAGGACGATTAAAAACTGACAATATTTGGACGTTGAATCATGATGGGTCTAAGGCACTAGATGTATAAGACAAACGAAGTGTATAAATAAACACATTGCCTGCCTTTAAACTAGGGCATAAAACTGACCATGTGTGGTTTGATTGACGGCGCAGGTTTATAGATGTGGCTAGTACACAGTAGCAAGAATGTATGTCTTTCCACTGTAGGTAGAGAACTCTACTAGGCAGAGAGGTTTTCATTTTGCTCCACACTAAGTGTACATTAATATCTTTAACAAACCGTCTATTCCATTATTCGTGTTATAGAAGTATCTCTTTTGTAACTATGACATAAATGTTATGACTTGCAATAACAAGCTGTAAAAATAGGCTTTTCTATTGATATGCAACATAAATGTTTCGAAAATATCTCGGTCGTTCAAAAAGATTGACCTCCTGGTCTATATACTTAATGAAAACGCTTAGGTCGGAAAGTCTGAAATCTGAATCATTTGAAACGGTCAACTGTCCAGATAGATGTTGGGGAGAATGAAATGCTGGGGATTCATAAAACTGGTGTAGAGCCGCATTTTGCAACTGCAACGCATTTTGCAACCAAAGAAAATCGTGAAAACGAATTTTTCAACCGGAACGCATTTTGCAACCAGAATTTTTTCTTAGTCAATAAATAGCTAGTGTGAATTTCTTTAGAGGTAGAATTGGAATGGGGACGGGGTTGTTTCGGCTAGGTGCGCTTACATTGGTCAAGCTTTCCCTGTGGTGGACAATTTATTATATACATGCATAATCTATTTAACATTGTTACTTCCTAAACCATCATAGTTAGGAACTGGATACGTCGGGGATTAATAAACCTATCATTATAGGGATTTGCAAAGGCTCTTCGGAATTCAATTGTGACTTGGGGTGTGGTCGACCCTGGGGGTGGTCTATACTAATTTTTACATCGTATTTTATGCTAGGAACATGAAACGTGACTACATACTATTTTGAATGTGGAAGGGCACTTCGGATTTTTTTTTTTTTTTGGGGGGGGGG